GCCCAAAAATCGGGGGTTTTTTTTTTTTTTTGGCAAGCCTAGTTTGGGGAGGGGAGGGACCTCAGCAGGGTAAAACGTACAGTTGCCAACTCTGGGTTCAGAAATACCTGGAGACTTGAGGGCGGAGCCTGGGAGAGAGCGATTTAGGGAGGGGAAGGACCTCCGTCGGGCATAATGCCACGCATCCCACCTTCCAAGGAAGGCATTTTCTCCAGGAGATGGGGAATAAACGTTTTAAATGAGCGAATATTAAATAAGTAATTTATGTGGTCTGGGGATCAGTTGTGATTCCGGGAGAACTCCAGCCCTCACCTGGAGGTTGGCGACCCTATACAATGCCAGTCCACCCTCCCAAGCAGCCATTTTCTCCAGGGGGGAGGCTGACCAGGGTCATCTGGAGATCGATTGTAATAGTGGGAGATCTCCAGCAATGCTCCCTCTAAGCTGTGGAGTCTTGTGAGCAACAATTCTCCTTTGTGAGCTGCTGGCATTAAAGTTCTGAGTGAGTGATTTGGCTACTGCATAAATTAGTTTGCTCTGGAGCCATCCTCCCTGAGCTAAAACAAAAATGTGTGAGCCAGAGGCTAAAAAACTGTGAGCTAGCTCACACTAACTCAGCTTAGAGGGAACACTGATCTCCAGGTACCCCCTGGAGGCTGGCGACCCTAACCCAAAGCTGTTTACATCGTTCTCCTCTATTTGATTCTCTCCTCACAACAACCCCGTGAGGTAGACATGTCAACGAACAAGAGCGCACTCTACTTACAGACCGTTGCGGCTAAAACCAGGATCATGACCAGAGAGACAAAATGTTGGTTTTGGGAGGCAGCCATTTTCTCGGAGTCCTCAAAGACGAGTCCCAAAGGTTGGCCTGAGAGGTCGAAGGGTGACGCCAGAGGGTTGCTTGGCTGTCAAATGGATATTCTGAAGGAGAAGAAGAGATTGGACTTATACCCCGGCCCTTCACCACCCGAAGGAGTCTCAGAGTGGCTTACAAACTCCTTTCCCTTCCCCTCCCCACCACAGACACCCCTGTGAGGGTAAGTGGGGCTGAGAGAGCTCTGAGAGAGAACTGCCCTTGAGAGAACAGCTCTGACGGAACTACGGCTTGCCCGAGGTCATCCAGCAGCCACTAGTGGAGGAGTGGGGAATCAAACCCGGTTCTCCCAGATTAGAGTCCACGCACTTAACCACCACACCAAACTGGAAGAAGAGATTGGATTTATACCCCGCCCTTCACTACCCAAAGGAGTCTCAGAGCGGCTTACAAACTCCTTCCCCTTCCCCTCCCCACAACAGGCACCCTGTGAGCAATGTTCCCTCTAAGCTGTGGAGTCTCGTGAGCACAAATTCTACTTTGTGAGCTCCTGGCATTAAAGTTGTGAGCGAGCCATTTGGTTGCTGCTCAAATTAGTTTGCTTTGAGGCCCTCCTTCCTGAGCTGAGGCAAAAATCTGTGAGCTGGAGGCTAAAAAACTGTGAGCTAGCTCACACCAACTCAGCTTAGAGGGAACACTGCCTGTGAGGCAGGTGGGGCTGGGAGAGCTCTGACAGAAACTGCTCTTTTTCAAGAACAGCTCTGCCAGAACTACGGCTTGCTCAAGGTCATCCAGCAGCTGCAAGTAGAGGAGTGGGGGATCAAACCTGGTTCTCCCAGATTAGAGTCCGCTCTGCAGCAAAAGAATCCTGGAGAATGTATGTGGGGGGGACGGACAGTTTTTATAGACTTGGGGGCGGGGGCGGTAGAGGACTGCCTAATGAAATTTAACGGCGCTCCTATATCGCCGATCACGAGAAAATCTATCAGTGGCTTCCGAAAAAGAGCTGTTTGTTTGGGGATGGGCGGAGAGGATTAGATTGCCTGGCTAAAAGGGACGAGGTTCTCCATTAATGTGTCATTGCCCCTGGCAAAAGGCAGGCCTCCGCTCAGGGAAGTTTCTGCCACAAGACATTTGTTAACTTTTAGGGTAACCAGACCGTTTAGCCAGCTGCGGCCTTTCCTGGGCAGAGATCTGGCTGCTGAGAATAAACCGCATTCTTGCTGAAATCACTCTCCGACTCGTTGTTAAGCGCACGACTTAACATTTTTCATCTTTACATTACTTCGAATTCAGTATATATAAAATATAATAATTAGACAATCAATTATACATCTCCAAAAATCATTCATTTTCAACATGTATGATGTTCACTAGTTCTTTGCTTACAAATTATATTTTCCTTTTGTGCTTTAGCCAGTCATATGTACTTTTCCATCTTTTCCAGAATACATTTTAGGGACGAGGTTCTCCATTAATGTGTCATTGCCCCTGGCAAAAGGCAGGCCTCCGCTCAGGGAAGTTTCTGCCACAAGACATTTGTTAACTTTTAGGGTAACCAGACCGTTTAGCCAGCTGCGGCCTTTCCTGGGCAGAGATCTGGCTGCTGCGGCGACGCATGCCCTGGTTACCTCTCGATTAGATTACTGCAATGCGCTCTACGTGGTGTTACCCTAAGGCAGTGATGGCGAATTTTTTAGAGACCGAGTGCCCAAACTGCGACCCAAAACCCACTTATTGATCGCAAAGTGCCAACACGCCAATTTAACCTGAATACGGAGGTTTTACTTTAGAAAAAACAACTCATACATTAACTTAAGACAATCCAAACAAAGTCAGGAAAGCAATCCCAAAGGCTTTCATTGACTTAAATATTATTTGGCCTAGAATTCCACGCTTTAATGATGGTCTGGGCCTGGCTGGGGCGATGGCACGCGTGCCCACAGAGAGGGCTCCGAGGGCCACCTCTGGCACCTGTGCCATAGGTTCGCCACCACTGCCCTAAGGGGTTGTGAGCAATGTTCCCTCTAAGCTGAGGAGTCTTGTGAGAAAAAATTCTACTTCGTGAGCTACTGGCATTAAAGTTGTGAGCGAGTGATTTGACTGCTGGATAAATTAGTTTGCTCTGGAGCCATCCTTCCTGAGCTGAGACAAAAATGTGTGAGCCGGAGGCTAAAAAACTGTGAGCTAGCTCACACTAACTCAGCTTAGAGGGAACCCTGGTTGTGAGGGTCTCCTGAGGTTGTTGGGGAATTAGCCAGGAAACCCAAACAATGCGAGAATGGAGTGATGAAGCAGTACCTCCACCTACGTTTACTGGGGATTTCCCCCTCATTAGAACTCTCAAAACGAACAAGGCCGTGATTCACGGAATGGTTTTTATTAGAGAATTAAAGAATAAAATCAGAAGCTCGTTAACTGAAGAGGACTGCCGAGAGCCAGTTTTGTGTCGTGGTTAGGAGCGCAGACTCTAATCTGGGAGAACCGGGTTTGATTCCCCACTCCTCCACATGCAGCTGCTGGTGTGACCTTTGCAGGGTGGACTCTCTGGCATTATACCCCGCTCTGAGGTCTCTCCACTCCCCAGGCTCTAACCCCAAAATCTCAAGGTGTTTACCAGCCGGAGATTTTGAGAAGGGAGCTTGGGGGAAGGCAGTTTGGAGAGAGGACGGCGTTCCGTTGGGAGAGAGTCCACCCTCCAGTTTGGTCGTAGTGGTTAGGAGTGGCGGACTCTAAT